AAGAACTGCGAAATATTTCGGCGGAAGGAGTCGCAATTCATGGGGCGGGGCTCCGCCAAATGAGTCGCGCAAAACGCGGGCGCATCCGGGTCGGAACCCCGGCGCGAGTCCCGCTGCACCAGCCATTCCCGCAGGACGTGGCAAGGGCAAAGGCTGGGGGTGTCGACCATCTTTGGGATGTGGCACACCATGCCTTGTCCGAAAGGGGTCGTTCTTTTGCCGGGCGACAGAAATTGCAACGAAATTGTCGTGTAAAGATATGTCCCGACGCCAGAGCGAGAGAGTCTCGAAACACCTCCGGACGCCGAAGAATGACGCGGCTGCTATAGCGACGTCCTGGACAGCGGCCAGGCTGCCTGCTTTGAGGCGGGCGGCCTGGCAACACCGCAATTCTTCGAGAGATACCGGGCGCTGTGCGGGTGACCGTGAATGGTCGGCCCGCTTCTTCAGACCTCTCCAGAATTGGGCCGACCGGTCCGTCCATGCTCTGTCAAATTGCGCTGTCAAATTGCGCGGCTGGTGCCAACAGAGCACTGCAGCGCGCAGATTCGTGACGGATCACCAGGACCGGCCGTCCATCTGGGCAAACAACAGCATGAATGTCACGTCTGAGTCGCACGGCAAAAGTTGCAGCCCTGAGGAATTTTCGAAAGAATCTACGGCAGTACGCAGGGAGCTGCTATGCAGTTTCTTTGCGCTCTCCTCCAAGGCTGCTTGGAGGCAGCAGCGAATTGCTGATATGGCCCTGCTGCGCTGTGCCCCCTGTTCCACAGAGGTGCTCTCGCGAATTAAAAACAAGAGGTCGGGGCCCTCACTCAGAAGCTGGCGCGCACCTGGTGCGTCCACCGGCGGGGCTCGAAGCTGTTCGTGTAGCAGCGCGGGGGCCCCAACAGGCCCGGCGCCAGTGTGCGTCGCCGGGGCGGGTCTCCCCCACAGGCACCGCGGATGCCTGCGAAGGTGGAGCGCGGGGCCCGTCGAAGACGCTCTGTCGGCCGCCAGCCCGGGGCGATCGAAATCGTCGCGGTGCAAACAGGCGGGGCCGCGGCGCTGGCGGCGCGAGGGCTCTGGCGATCCTGGGCCGCGCTTCTTCTCGAGCCCCAAAGGCTCTGGGCCGCGGCGGCAATTCCCTGTCGACCAACAGGTTGGGGGGGGCGGCGACGAAGGTGTTTTCCCCCGCCAGGGGGCAAAAAGGCACTGATCGTACGTTTTCTTGCGCGTTTTATTGGCGGTCGGGGGCCGCCTGGGCCCTGCCGTGTGTGGCCCCCGGGGATATCGCGGCCACGGCAATACTCATGGTGCGCGGATCCGGTAAACCAAGCGCCAGAACGGCAAAAAAGTTAAGCAAACTGTGTTGAATGAGGCCGCCAGGGCCGCGGCCCCGGTCCCCGGTGATTTCTCTGCCCCCCAGCAGTAACTAATGTGTATGGCGCGCGTGCCCGGTGACCGCCGACCCGCGCCCGCCGACGATCCCTGGGCGGGATTGCGTAGGAAAGGGGAGGGGCGGAGCGGGAGGGGCGAAAGCGAAGGGCAGGCGAGGGACAGAGAAAGCATGGTGAGAGGGGGAGCACACGGTGATGCGACGACTGGCGTTTTTTTTTTTCAAGGCGTGCACCGGGCGGAGCCTCAACCTGGTTCGTGGGGGCCGGCCCTGGGCGCGCGCCTGCTTGAGGCGCAGGCGCCTATCTAAGAGATGTGCGTAGAACGCCAGAAGAAGAAGAAGAAGACGTCGTGCACGTCAGAGGTGCATGGGCAAAAAAAAGTACGCGCCAACGCTAGTGCAGCCAAGCGCTGTGAAACGATGAAGCCACCCGGCGTAGCCTATGCCACGGCCAGGCGGTCTCTAAAAATCCGCCGACCCCTTGTGGGTCTCTAGGCGTGTGAGATGGTTCCCCCCCCGTAACCCCCCCCAAGGGACCCCAAACCGGAGATTTGACCCCTCCCCCGACCCCAGGCGACCCCGGACCGAACGCGTCACGGGGGAGCGGGTGGTTCCAAAACTGGCCATGAATTCACCAGAACGCTCCCCAGACGGTCCCAGGGGGCCACGATTCACCGAAATATGGCCCTGGACGCCCACGATGGCCTCCAGGCGGCCTCCGAAGCTGGCAAGGCGCCCCAAAAGGCCCCCAAGATGCGCCCCAAAAGGGTCCCAAGCAACAAAAATCTGCCCATTCCCTTCGAAAAACAAGCATTGATTAGCATGCTCGCCTATTCGGTTTTCACAACGTCCCAGACGGGCAAAAAAACCTTCAATATCGCCCCCAAACAGTCAAAGGGGCCCCCAAGAAGGGTCGAAGACGGTCCAACAACAGCCCCCGAAGCCCCCAAGACAGCCCAAAAAGGCCCCCAGACGGCCCCAAGACGACACCTGTTCGAGCCTTCGGCCCCAAGACGCCCCCAGCGCGCCCCAAGAACAGCCCAAGAGGCCCTGAGGGACCCCCAAAAGAACCTCAAAGGCCTCCAAGAAGCGCCCAGGAAGCCCCAAAGAGGCCCCAAAACTTGGCCCAAGATGCCTCGAGGCGGCCGGATATGGCCTGCAGACAGGCCAAGATGCCACCAAGAGGCCACAAAAGAGCACCAAGAGGTACGATAACAGCAACGAAGCAACAGGAACGATGTCGAGCGCCGTGTCATGATTCGGACAAGCCTCGTGAAATGCAGTCCTGGAGGCGCAGTACCTTATATAGGGGTCGGCGGATGTGGCGTAAGCCTATAGATCGTTTAGTAGATCCCCATCCCCAGCGGCGTGGGCTGGGACCAGCTGGCCGATTACCCCCCATCTGGTCGTTCTCTTCGGGTTTCGAAGGGTGTATCCCCAACTGGGGTGATAATTTGGTGGGGGTCTCGAAGGGGATGGAGATGGGGGTTGGTGAAACGATACCGAAGACAGAAGGCAGGAAGGCGCCGCCAACAGCGGCCAAAGCCTCGCAAAAAAAAGAGCGACGCCCTGCACTCCGTGCTATAACTCAGACATCCCGCACCTTGAAACATCGAGACGGGGGGCCCTTTCACGGGCCTCAGCACCGTCGAATCACGACTCGGGATGAAGCGGTCGTGAGGTCAGGGGCCCGCGTCTCGACCAAGTCGAACAAGTCGAGAGGGGGGGGGCAGTGACAAGGAGAAGGCCTTCTCGGGAGGCTCGGAAGTCCCCCGGCCCTCCCAAAGTTTTCTGAGTCTTCCCCGAAGACTCAGAAAACTTCTCAGAAGGCGCGCGGGCTTCTTAGAAGTCTGCCGCCTTCTGAGAAGGCCTTCTCCTTATGACTTCCCCCCCTTGCTCGCCACCGAGACGCTCCTCTGGGTGCCCCACTCCCCGGCAGGGGTCAGCCTCATATCGCCAGGTCAGGGTTCCAGCGCGCCGCGGCGTTGGAACGCCGTCGGCGCGTGGCGTCTACCCGACACAATGGTCGCTTTTGTTGGCCGTCGGCGCCCCCCCCCGTGTCCCCCTGCGTTTACAGTAGGTTTGTGCGGCGATCACCGCTCATGCTAAGGTTTTGACACCGCGTCGATCGTTCAACCTCGAACCGATCGCGGCCCCAATCGTTCAAGGTTGAATTCCCTGGGGTCGTGTGGCGTTACCATCTCTCGGTGCTTTCGCGTCGCTCTACCGTGTGTAACTCAACCTTGAACGCCTTCATTTGAGCTTCTTGGGAGCCTCTTGGGGGCATCTGGGGGGGCTCTTGGGAGCCTCTCGAGGCGACTCTTTGGGCCCCCTGGAAACCTCTTTGGGCGGAAGGTTTGGATTTTCGGCGTCTTTCGGCCCTCTTGGCCTCTTTGGGCCGCCTCTGTGAGCATCGTTTAACGATCCCCATCCCCAGCGGCGTGGCCTGGGACCCGCTGGCCGATTTACCCCCCTAGATGGGGATATAGGTCGTTCCCTGCGGGTTTCGAAGGGTGTATTCCCAACTGGGGTGGTAACTTGGTGGGGGTCTCGAAGGGGATGAGGATGTGGATGAGGGTCGGTTAAACGATACTGACTCTGGGAAGCGAACCGGGAGGGTAGCAGAAAGCTTCCCTGGATGGCCAGGGGGGGTCTATGAAGTTCAGCTATAGAGATTCTATCAGACACACCTATACACATCTATATATATATATACAACATAAAGCATATATATCATTCTAAATTTGCGATGTCGTACTATGTTTTATCACACATATAAACCGAGTATGCATTACTACATATATACACGCTAAAGGAATGATTTATCATGTATGTATAGTATATCATACAACACCAGGTCATATTCTATAAATACATACTAGTGCCACGCGCGCGCTTCGCCCGCGCTTAAGTTCTAGCCGCGCCCCAAAAACTCGCATCGCAAGCTGCCGTTGAGGACTGCGGGGGCGATTCCGGAGCTCTTCCGGGGGTGGAGGGACCAGCGGCAAGCGAGTTTGGGGATGCCAGCGACGTGTAGGGGAGTCCTGGGGCTTCTTCAAGGCTTCTTGCGTTTCTCTGGATTCACTCGAAGACCGGAAGAGGAAGAGGAGGAAGAGGAGGAGGAGGAGGAGGAGGAGGAGCTGAACAAAGAAGGATTGTGCCCGAATCTGGCTCCGAAGTGCACGCCATTGGGGCCAAATCACGGAGCATCGAAGGTCGCCCCCTCCCCTCCTGACCACGCATCAGGGGCCAAACCATGGTGCAACGAAGGCACGAAAACCCATCTGGGTCGCACTGGCAGGGCCTCAAATTCGATGATAGTAGCTTCTCGGGGACTTTATTCAAGAGCTTCCAGGCCACATCCAGCTGTCTTTGGGCCGTCTTGGAGCATCTTAGACGCCTGCTGGAGATGCAAGATTGGGTGCCTTTGGCGGTCGTTGTTGGAGCCGTCTTGGAAGCATCCTCGGCTATGTTGGAAGTCAATTGGGACCCGTGGGACCGTTTCTGGAGCCGCTTGGGGTGTCTTGGGGCCCTCTTGGGGCCATGATGGGGCCGTCTTGCGCCCCTCATGTTGGGCCATCTGAGAGTCCTCTTGGATCTCTTGGGCCGTCTTGCATTCTTT